GTCCATCTCCTGCCCCCACCCCTCCCCGCTTCCATCCTCTCTTCTCTGGATTTCCGCAGTGGTTTCTGAGCTTCCCGTACCCATCCCTGTCTCCCTATCAACCATTCTCCACACAGCAGTCAGAGTGGTTATTAAAACATGTAAAACAACTCATGTCACTCTGCTTCTGAAAGTCCTCCAGGGGCTTTCTTTGAACTTAAAGTAAAATACAAACTCCTTCCTTTAGCCTTCAGCGTGGCTTATGCGTGCTGCTTCTCTTCCGTGCCTCCTCTCTTTGCTCTTTCTGTCCCAGCCACTCACATGCTATTAGTTGCTGGAAGGAGCTGTTTTTCCTGACCTCAAGGTCTTTGCACATTCCTGGAATGCACCCCCACTTGTTCTTTCCATGCCTGGGTACTTCTCATGCTTTAGGCGGCAACTTACCTGTCACCTGTCCTCAGGGAAGCCTTCCTTGATCTAAAAGAGATCTCTGCTCTCATTCTTTATCGAAGAATCCTGTTTCTTTCTTTCATGGTTCTAATTACAGTTTAGAATGGTTTTCGTCTCTTTGTTTGGTTATTTGTCTTCTTGATAAGCCTTGTAAACATGAGTGTTCTGTTCACCTTTTTTTATCCCCCACCACTAACACAGTGCGTGTGATAAGTGCTCATATATATCTGTTGAATGAGAGTGTCAGGCCTGCAGTAAGCCCTCTATGTATGTTATTGTAATTAATGTTCATAAGAATTCTGAAAGATAAATACTTTTCTAGTCCCATTTTATGAACAAGAAAAACAAGGCTTACAGGTGTGAAATAATTTGCCCAAATCCACAGAGCCTATAGGCGAAGAAGCTAGGATTTGAACTCAGAATGTCCAACTGCAGGACCTGAGTGCTCACCCCCTTCCCTTCCTCGCCGCTGGCATATGCAGGAGGTTGTGTAAGAGGGAGAAAGGAAGCTATTGGGTCTCCAACATTAGCTCAGTCATACTCTGACTTATAAGATCCTGACATAGAGATCTTGGCTCCTTTCTCTAGTCTGCTAAATCACCTGTTTCAGAGCATTTAAGAAAAAAATACACAAAAAGGAGTTCAGCAGCTTGGGGTCTGAGTTCAGTTTGGAGCCAAGAAACCATTTAAACCCATCTTGCCTTTGCTAGCTCACTCTAAGTCCCCTAAGCTGGCCACACATTGCATCTGGTCCTTGGGACTGGATCCTGCTTCATCTCTCCATATCTACATTGAAAAGAACTGCTCACCCAAATGGGCACTCTGTGATAGATAGTTCCTTGTGGCTCAGTTTCCGCAGCTGTGGAGTGAGATGCCTAAAGCATATTCACTTCCAAGATGTCCGTATGGCTCCATCACTAGCCCGGAGAACAACTCTGGGCGGATTAGAAAACAGCACCCCTCGATGTCCACCAAAATGCCAATGACCTTTTTATTGTAGAAATAGGAAAAGTCATCCTAAAATTCATGTGGATTCTCAAGGGATCCTAAATAGACAAAATAATCTTGAAGAAGAAGAACAAAGTTGGAAGTCTCATATTTCCTGATTTAGAAACTTACTGCAAAGCTATGATAATCAAAACAGTGTGATACGGCATAAAGACAGACTATAGACCAATGGAATAGACCAGAGAGCCCAGAAGTAAACACTTGTGTATATGGTCAAGTGAGTTTTGGCCAGAATTTTTTTCCAGAATGCATTTTGCCCATGCCAAATGAGAAATACAGCTCCTGGGGTATCTGTGGACCCTGCGATCACGCCTAGAGTCTCCTTTGCAGCACCAACAGGGAAGAAACCCTACATGGGGAAGAATATAGGAGGAGCACTTTGCTCTAGACCTACTTCATTTTTCAAGTAGTCTAATTTAAACCCTAAGATTGTGGTGGTGGTGAGAGGGCTTAACAACGGATGTAAGGTACTTTATCACCTAACACGAAAATCCTCATACTGAGAGAGAAGAAAAGAAAATCTCCTTTCAAGCCTCCTTCCCCCTCAAGCTTGCCTTCCTGTCCTTGTCCTGTTATCACACTGCTCCTCAAATGAGTGGTCTACATTCCCTGCTTCTCCTTCCTGGACAAGCCACCCTTTCGTTCCTGGGACAGTTATGTCTTCCTTTCCACGATTCCATTAGGCTCTCTCAGAGACGGCTAATGACTTTCCAACAGTCAAATCCAGGGAACTTTTAAATTGTCATCTTCTTTGTTTCAATTCTTTATCTCTCTGACCACATTTTCACTACTCCTTAGCTTGTGTGTTCTCTTTAGCGCACATCACCACAAGCATACTAGATATTTATCAATTTCTGTCTTCCCCATAAGAATGGAATAATGGAGGTGAAGATTTTATTTTGCCCACTGCTCTATCCCCAGTGTCTAGAGCAGTGCCAAGCCCTTAGTTGATACTGAGTATTTGTTGAAATGAATGAAAGGAACTTTGACATCTTCCTCTGCCTCAGAACCCAATCTTCAGAAAGTTCTTCAGTTCTGCTGTTTTTGTCTTAGAAATATTTCTCAAATCTGTGCTCCTGTTGGCTTTCTTTCCTACCACACTGCCTTAGATTAGGACCTGTCACCCCTTGCTGAGCTGCCATCATAGCCCATTTTCTGCTTTACCAAGGAAGCTTCCTTTCTAAAGCACAGTCCTGAGCGGTTCCTTCCTCAGCTTCCCCCGCTGGATGTTCACATGATAGATGCTCATTACTGTGTGTCTGACAGTCTGGGACACCTGCGACTCCCTCTGGGAAAATACATCAGGGGAGGTCCACAGTTTTGTCCCATTTCAAAGTGAGGTTCAAGGAGGGACTGACACGCAGAGCTCACAGAGGTAGGCATTGATGAGTGGAAAGAGGACGAATTGGAGACAAGTGATGGATCCTGTTAAAAGAACACAGGAGAGACACATGCAGTGTGGACTGCGATGACTGTGGGGTACAATTCTAGAATGAGTCATTACAACAGAGATCAACAGCCACACAGAGCAGGGAGGGGCTGGAGAGAGAGAGAGAGAGAGAGAGAAAAGAAACACAATCATGCTAAGTCAGATAGGATTTCTACACCTGCCTACGTTAAAAAGCTAAAAATAGGGACATTTGGGGAGAAAAAATAGTGAGGAATCTTTTCATTCTACTGACATGGGCTATAAGAAGGGAGGTTTGCAGAGAAGGGTGTGTCTCTCACTCTTGGTAAAATTAGAATTAAGAAAATTTTAATTTGGGTTATCCCAGCCTTCACTTTTTTCCTTTTTCCCTCAGACTTGTTCTTTCCATCTTTCCCAGCTATCAAAATCTCTTTTTTAGGAAAGAGTCTAATACGTTAGACTTAATGTTATATGTTATAGAAGTAATTTTACATGTTAGTAGAAGCTCATATCTGAAGGTAAAGATGCTTAAATACAGCCACCGTTAAAGAAATCTATAAAGTCCACTATAGCCAACACAGGGCTAAAAAACAGTGGTTTTTCAATAAATATTTACTGAAAGATGTTCAAAATGTATTATTTATATGATCGAACTTTGGAAACCATTTAAATACCCAAGAAGGGGGAAACCACTGAAGAACCAATGATATATAGAAATATTACACTGCTATAAAAAATTTAAAAAGCCTTTTTAACAGCCTGGGAAAATGCTTATAGTGAAATGTTAGGGGAAATAAACAAGATTCCAATTGCTACTCTACTGTGTCAACTCTAAAAATCATATGCATATACAAAAGATAGAAAATCCGTGGGTATCTGTGGAATCTGGGATTTGGGGGTAATTTTAGTTCCTCCTTTCTACGTTTCTGTATTCTTGAATTACTTATAATTGGTATGAAATAATATTTTAAAAATAACGTTGGGAAGATTGATTTTGGAGAGGGAGTATTTTTTCGGGGTCCCAGAAGTCACAGCGTGTTGGTGTGGTCCTCTTGGTCTACCAGCCTCTCTGGTAATGGAGGTTGGCTGTCTGGCCAGCGGAGGATGGGTTTTTAAAGAGTAGCACAGCAGTGGAGAGTCTGACCTTTAAAGAAAAAGGGAGTACTTGGTAATACTGGTGCTTTGAACGTGGCAGCCTTCCTCTGGGAAAGTGTCACTGTGCTGGGCTAATAGGCTATTCCAGCATCTAGAACATTTTGTGCTCCTGATTCTTCCTCAGCTTTTGTTCCTTAAACACTCAAGCCTTGCTCAGGTGCTGAGACATGTTTATTTTAAACCCCCTGCTCTCCCACCCTCTTCTGTGTAAAATACAGCTGTAAGATTAACTGAAAGCCTTTGTGTGTACCTCAGTGACGTCCTACATTAATATCTTTAAGAATTGAGGTTCTGTGCCATTATAAGAAAATATTATTATCTAATATCTTGCCTATAAAGACCTAGGTAAAAAGCTCAGTGATCTTCATAAAGAGACCACAGATTTCAGCATTCATCAACAAGGAAACATTTCCTTTGGTTGTTTCTGGAAATTCCTTCTAAACATCTGCGTTTTCTTCGAACTTAAGTAGCTTCCTACCTCCTTCCCCTGAGATCTCTTGCCACTCTGTGGGAGAGTAAACTTCATAGCCAGTTTCAAACAAACAAACAAACAAACAAACAAGACCAAAACCAAACAGAACCCTGCAAGAGCAATCTATCTCCATTCCTCTCCAAATTCTAATTTCCTGCACTTCAAAAAAATATCCTAGGCTATCCTTGTGTTTCAAGGATCTTAGGATCTAAATGGAGATTCGACACTTTGAAAACCTAACCAAACCTAAGATTTTGTTTTTATTATTTACTAGTTATTAAAATATCCGCCCTCCCGATTAAGGAAGGCTGCATGGCAGGAGGGACCGCGGAGGCGTGGGGGAGAAGTGTGAAAAGAAGAAATCCCAGCTCTGCCTGGAAGACTGCGTGTGAAAGAGCCCGACTCCTCCGGCAGCTCCAGGCCGCGTTTTGCAGGCGGCCGCATCTGCCTCCCCTGTCTCTCTTACCTCCTTGATGCTCGGCACTATTTGTGGCCGGCGTGGTGGAAGGACACAGTGAGGTTCTCACCCCCGCCCCCCGCCCCCCGCTCCCATCCCCAGTGCCGTCAAAGCGAACCCGGGCCAGCGCAAGGATCTCCGAGTTGCGAGTGTGCTGAGGCTGGGACTGTCACTCATTCTCCGATCCGCGCGTGAACGCAGCTCGGCAGCGGCTGGCAGGAAACAATTCTGCAAAAATAATCATACTCAGCCTGGCAATTGTCTGCCCCTAGGTCTGTTGCTCTGCCGCCGTCCACACTCTCTGCAAGGGGGGGCACAGAATTTACCGCGGCAAGAACATCCCTCCCAGCCAGCAGATTACAATGCTGCAAACTAAGGACCTCATCTGGACTTTGTTTTTCCTGGGAACCGCAGGTATGTTTTGAAATTATGATTATTCTCAGACTGATGTACTGATTGCTCCCTTCCCCCTCCTTCTCTCCCGAGGACACTGTTATTTGGGGTGACTTTACGTGGAATACTAAGGGTGGTCATTGTCGTTGAGCTGAGGAGGGAGCGCGTCGCCCTTGCTGCCCGCGGAACCCAGCGCTCTCCGGGGCTGCGCCGGACCCGGGCTGCTTCCCAGCGCCGCGAGCTCCCGCTGCGCCTCCCGCGCGCCCGCCCTTCCCACTTTGTGTGCCGGCGGCGCGGGGAGCGGAGCCGCCCGCTCCCGGGGACGCTCCCCGGAGCGCTACGGCCGCGCGGGTGCTGGGCAGCGCTCCTTCCCGAAGCGGGCGGCGGGGCGGGGCGGGGGTGCCGCGGCTCCGCGGTGCGGCCTCGCGGGCTCGGGTTCCGCGGGGAAGGGGCTTGTCAGCCTCGGCCCCGCTAAGAGTGAACAATAAGGCCGGGGCAACCGCCCCATCGTTATTTCCCCGGGGTCTAATAAAGTGGGGCTCGCCGCCTTGGCGCCCAGCCCCCCCCCCCCCCCCGCCCAGACTGAATAACGGTTTGCAAAATGGGGCAAAATGGGCAGAATCTCAGGGCTGTGTGGCCGTTGTTGCATCCCCGTCAATATGACGTTAGTTTTTCATTTGCCAAATTGCTGGTTACTTGCAAAGCCTGCTCTCGGCCGGGAGCACGGAGGGATGGGAGGGCCGAGCGCCGCGTTTTGACAGGAGGAAGTGTGGAGGGGCGGAGGGGCGGAGGGCGAGGAGGGCGTGATCGGGCTGCCTGGTGTGTGTGCGCGTGTGTGTGCGCGCGTGTGCCTTCACACGCACCTCGAGCCCCGTGTTGCACGGTGAGCGAGAAGAATGGCAGGTAGCCGCCCGCAACACCTCGCCCCAACCTCCTTTCTTTGGGCGAGGTTCCTGATCCTTGTAAAGTGCGAACAATAGGGAGCTGAGGGGAAGACAGTCGAGGGATGCTGCCGCGGGTGGCGCGGGCTGCGCCGCCGCCCAGAAAACCTCGGCGGCCGGGAGGTTCATTTCATTTGGTGTATTTCTATCCCGGCCTCCCTGCAAGATTCTTCAGTGCGTACCCACCCTCTCCTCCAGCTGCTCTCCCCACCCAACCCCACCCAGGGATTTGCGCTCTGGCGTGGACGGTCGGGAACCGGGAACGGGGAAGAAAAGGAGCAGGGGCCGCAGAGAGCAGGGTGGGGTGGGCGACATTCCGGGAGGGGGGCGTGTGCTGGGAAGCGCCCGGGGAAAGCCGGGAGGAGGGGGCTGTGTGTCGCGGCCGCCGCTGCCAGGTGCCGCCGCGGGTGCTGCCCTAGACGGCCGATTCCGGGTGGGGGAGCGCGCGGGGCGGGCCCTCCCCGGGCGGCACGGAGCAGCCCCGGCCGCCGCCTCCAGCCAACTCGGGTCCCTCTCCCATGGCGACCAATCAGAGCGAGGCTGGCTGGGCGGGAAGCCGCGAGAGGCTTTTATTGCGGCGCGGGTGGCGGCCCCGAGCTGCCAGGACCGTCGCCCGGTGTTCCAGTCTAACGGTCTCGCTCGCCCCCGCCAGGAGAAACCCCGCCCCGTGGCCCGCCCCACAGTCCAGGGGAGGGAAGATGGAGTCCAGGTGTCCCCGGGAGGTCCGGCCCGCCAGTGCTCGCCCACTCGCGCCTCTCTCGCGCAGACCCGAGGCGCCCCTCCCGCCCCCCCAGCACGCACACTCTGCCCGCGTCGTCCCGGCCCGAGCGCGTCGCCGGGGAGGGCTCCCGGGCTGGGCGCACGGACGCGCGTGCGCCGACCGGCCGGCGGCGGGCCGAGGGCGAAGCTGAGGGCGGGGCCTCGGGGGCTAAGGGGGGCTAAGGGGGGCCCCCAGCTGCGGCCAAGCCCCAGTCAGCAGATCGATTGGTCTCGCCGCCACCTGGCCGGGGCCGCCCCGGGCGCTCCCTTTTCCGTCGTGCGGGCGGGGTCTCCGCGCGCGACCTGCCCTCCCGAGACCGTGCGTTTCTGGGACCTCCTCCCCTCGAGGTGGGGGCGTGGCCCCGGAGACCTGATCTTTGGGGGGCTCTGGGGAATCGCCGGCCTACCTTTCCACCGCCGTGATGGGTGTAACCTTCGGTGTTCGGATTTGAAGACAGGCTCAAGCTGGTACACGCCCAGGGAGTCCCGGATTGGGATCTGGTGGCTGCCCAGCAAGGGTGGCATTCGTACCAGTGTTCCCTGGAAGGAAAGCGGCCTCAGTCCTGGCCCTGGAACCGTGAGGATGGGGCAAGGCAGAACATGAAACACATACATGGTTGCTTAACAAAAGAAATAAGTTGAACGGTTTTCTAAAGAGAAATAATGTTCCGTTAAAGTATTAATAATACGATCGTTTAAAAAAATTGAAGACTTCAGGTCAGAGGGTCAGGGCGAAAATAAAAACAATATTATATACACACACATACATGTATTTGTGTATACATAGTAATAATTATTACTGTAATTATAATGGTAATAATAATAACAGTTATTATTATCTTGGCCTCAAGTGTTGTATCATCTCCAGGGACAGTGGTAGTTCAGTCTCTGCACTCCACACAGTGCATATGAAAATTTAGATACAAGGTTTGCTAACCTTATTAACGCAATATGAATCAGGTCTGCAGCCCCTCTCATTTTGGTGTCTTCTGCTCTTTAGGAATAAAGTGCAAGATTGTGGAATTACATAGCAAATTTGAGTCTATTCTAGCAGCAATTTTGGGTGTTTTGTGGAAAAATTACTTGAAAGATCTGGAATGATCTGGAATCATACGTTTCTTTGACAATTTTAGTCCTCTGCCAATTTTACTTGCCAGAGTAAAGGAATGAATAGGACTGGTTTTCTAACAAGATAGCACTGGATTAAGAACAAAGGGCACCTTTGCTACCTTACCAAAGCCAGCTAGCACGTATATAAGTATACATAATACTCCTCACGAAATGAATTATCAAGAGGTGTTTCAGCCAAGTTTGCTGTGAGTACAGCAGTGCTGAGCTGTATTTTTTTTTTGTTGATTTTCATTTTAAGATAAAAAATGTGTGTTTATGAACAAAGCTGTAACTGAATGTAATATAGTCATATTAAAGAATGTGGAAAACTTTCATTACTCTATCCCAAAACCAAAGAGTTAATTTTCTTTCAACACATATTAGCATATGTTAAAATACTGAAAATAATGCAGAATTTATTTAAAATTCAACAGTTAAACACAAAGAGACTATAATCCAGATATTATGGAAGTGTGGCCTGTCCTTTATTTAATAGTTTTTCAATTACTATTCCTGCTGTGGAGGTTCCAAAGATCTACCAATCATGCTGTTTTCATTAGCAATTTACATTTTTTTTTAAGTCAGTTTTTCAAGAAGCTTCCCACTTCTTCCCCCAGCAGCTTGAACTTGATGAAATTTTCCCAGGGTCTATTTTTTTTTAAATAATACTGGAATAGCAGGAAATAGGGCATATTCTTGTTCAATAAAGAAGGTTTATCCAAGTCTCTGTGCTAATTGATTAAGGATTTGTTGATTTAACTGGTGACTATTTTTTGAGCTCGACAGTACAAGAATTAAGGCAGTAATTGTTTGCAAAAATGCTCCCAAACTCAAAAATTATGGTATGGGTGTGCTGTTCGCACCAGCTGCGGGTGCTTACTCAAGGCAACGATAAGAGGGAGCAATTACTCACTTGGAACCCCACAATTCTGAGTTTTGCACTTCTCTTGGCATACATTCATCATTAATTGACTACCTCAGGTCAGTAATACATAATTTAATGTAAGTAATCTGTATCTATATTTTTCTGTCACAGGGAACAAGGTCTTAATTGCCTTTCAAAATAAATAGCACCATTTTCTCATTCAAAGCCTAATCTTTAGGCATGACAGATGTTTTTGTTTGCTACAGAACTCAGTTTCTTAAATTATAGACAGCATCTTGTAAACTTTACACTGCTTGAAATATGGACTTTGGAATTTCTGATCCAAACACTTAATTTTTTTAAGGTGACAAAGCCTCTATTTAAAATGAGTCTGATGAACCCCCCATATTTACGTCTTCAGTGTTAAGGGACTGTGGCTGCTCTCCAGACAGAAAGTGACTTCAGTGCTACTGGCAGACCTCCAAAGAGATTGTACAGACAGTCCTTCCTGCCTTCATGCCCAATAAGTGACTACCTGTTGCTAAAGAACAGCTTGAACTTGCCCTGCCAATCTTGGGTTTGTGGTGATGGGGAGCAGAACCAATGGGCAGGGAGGGGAGAGGAAGGGACCGCACCTGCCGCCGTCAGTCTTCCGGGAACAGACAGCCTGAGAGGAGACAAAGGCTTTGGGAAAGGGCCCTCCTGTACTATTGAAGTATTGAGTTTTGGAGCAGACAAATGTTTTATGGTGCCAACATAAATATTTCAATGTAGCTCCCATAACTGATAATTCCTCAGTTTAGTGATCTAACAAATATATAGGCTAAGAAACATCTGGAACTTTAAAAGAAATGGCAGCAAATTACAAATAGTGTTTTACTAGTCTTAAAAATGGATTGCAAATTAGACTAAACTGGAACCACGAATCAACTGGCTATGTAGTCATAGTGACTACTTGACTTTTGAAATAAAAAAGACTAAGTAGTTAAGATTCCTTCAGTTAAAAAAGAAGAAATGAGTAAAATTCAGAAGAGCATTTTATACGTGTCTTAAAATCGTAGGTCTCTGAGCAATACTGTAAGAGATAGCCTCTTAGCAAGAAGGAGATGCCCAGGGATCCCTCTGAATCCTAAGGATTAGGTGTCTACGAGGCCCAGAGTTTCTTTTAGGAAACAACCCTGGCAAGCCTGTTATCAATAGTATAGGTAGATGTGCTCACTACTGTAGGGCAGTAAAATCCAGAAGTCCATCTGAAGGTCACAGTCACGTCACCTTTAGCCCTTTCCATTATTAATATTAACTCTTGGTGCCAAACCTTAAAACCATTTGCTGATGTAAAGGGATGT